GGAGTGTAAAGTGCGGAGTAAGGAGTGTGGAGTGTGTAAAGTGTAGATTGTGGAGTGCGGAGTGTAGAGTGTAAAGTGTAGAGTGTAAAGTGTAGAGTGTGGAATGTAGGGTGTAAAGTGTAGAGTGTGGAGTGTGGAGTGTAAAGTGTAAAGTGTGGAGTGTGGAGTGTGGGGTGGAAAGTGTAGAGTGTGAAGTGTGGAGTGTCGAGTCAGGAGTCTAAAGTGTAAATTGTGGAGTGTAAAGTGTGGAGTGTGGAGTGGAAAGTGTAGAGTGTGGAGTGCGGAGTGTAAAGTGAGAAGTGTGGAGTGTGGAGTCTAAAGTGAGGAGTGTGGAGTGTAAAGTGAGGAGTGTGGAGTGTACAGTGTGGAGTGAGGAGTGTAAAGTGTAAAGTCTGGAGTGTAAAATGTCAAGTGTGGAGTGTAGAGTGTAGAGTGTAAAGTATGGAGTGTAAAGTGTAGAGTGAGGAGTGTGGAGTGTAAAGTGTGGAGTGTGGAGTGTAAAGTCTCGAGTGAGGAGTGAGGAGTGTGAAGTGCAAAGTGTAAAGTGTGGAGTGTAAAGTGTAGAGTGTGGAGTGTGGAGTCTAAAGTGTAAATTGTGGAGTGCGGAGTGTAAAGTGTAGAGTGTGGAGTGCAGAGCTTCCCCTATAGACACGGCGACGCCACAGGAAAACCAGCGACTCGAGACGAGACACGTGGGTGCAGAAACACGAGCATTTCGTGCGAGACATCCTCCAATTTTGACATTTTCGACACGTTACCAAACAGGTTGGAATGTCACAAAGTGTCACGCCTGCCACGCAAAACGGCATGACAACCTGCTTGGAAACCTTCGAAAAAGAGAGGTTTTGCAGCTTCCCCCATAGACACGGCGATGCCACAGGAAAACCAGCGACTCGAGACGAGACGCGTGGATGCAGAAAAACCAGCATTTCGTGCGAGACATCCTCCACTCTTGACAATTTCGACACGTTATCAAACAAGTTGGAATGTCACAAAGTGCCACGCCTGCCACGCAAAACGACATGACAACCTGCTTGGAAACCTTCGAAAAGGAGAGGTTTTGCGGCTTCCCCCATAGACACGGCGAAGCCACAAGAGAACCAGAGACTCGAGACGTTTCGTGCGAGGCTTCCGTCAATTTTCAGCACATTGCGCAAAATGCCACGCTTGCCACGGAATTTGCACCGTGTCGCCACTTGACGCAGCCCTGCCAATGCGATGTACAAAAACACGCAACACGACACGTCGAAAGTGCTGCGCCTGCCACGAAAAATGACGATGGACACGTCCAAAGTGCTGCGCCTGCCACGAAAACTGCAACACATCTTCTGAAAACGTCGCAAAAGTATTGCGCCTGCCACGCAAAACGACTTTCGACACGTTGCAGAACACGTCTGAATGTCACGAAGTGCCACGCCTGCCACGCGAAGCAACGACACATTGGAAACCTCCAAAAATGACCACCTCTGCAGAACTTCTCATAGGCACGGCCATACGGAGTTCGTACGAACGGTTGCGAACGGTTGCGACCACAAACGCAACGTCGAGCGAACACACCCTCAACCCCCAGACCCCCAGAGTGAAACGGGAACCCTTGCTACGCATTCGGGAAAAAGCATTGAAACAAGCTTCCCATAAATTTCATATCTGTATTAAATTTCAATGGCAAGTTTGGACCCAATGACATGGGCAACGCTTGAGTGTTTGGGGTTGAACACTGCAACTGCCAATACGGCAAAATGCAGTGCAAACTGCTCGGGCTCTGAGCTGGAAAAAATTGTTTTTTGTTACAAATTGATTTTTATTCCTAGGGAGTCATGCTGTTTGACACATGCGTCACCCAATTTTGCCATATGCACAAGACTTTCCAATCCATTTGCCATCCGGATATTTCGTTGAGCTTGGCCTCGTGCCAGGTCAAAGAATGCTGTACGTGAGCGTTTCACACTAGGGGTCCGTGGAGCCACGTCAATTGAGCAAAAATTGAGGGGGCACGTGAAATTGAAATATTTCAATTCAACGGGGTCCTCCTAGGGAGAGGGTGGCTATTATATATATATATATGATAACATGTGATATCTTGGCCTTGTCTCATTTCCCCGACAAGGCAGAAGCAGCAGCATTTGGCAGCTTTGCAATGCCCCGTCTTTTCTTGTCTTGCAAGAAAGCTGTTGATGTTCACATACACCTTGGGGCTTCCCCTTTTTGGACTAGCACTCCGCTCTTGTCAGACTAGGCAAAAGGTTATGCGGGGCATGCAACGGTTGTTATTCTGTTTCCCCAAGATCCTTTCTTCCTCGTCTCACCAGCCTGTCACCCAGCAACAGCCCTGTGGGGCCTTGCTGATGGACGCACACACACAGAGACAAAGACAAAGACACACAGACACACAGACACACAGACACACACACACACTCACTCTCTCTCCCCGCAACCAATACTCTTTGGCCTGAAACTTGACCTCCACAATCTGACAGTAAGATGGAGATGACTCTTGGTTTTGAGAACTCCTTTATGCAATATCTTGTCGCCCGTCAAGTCAAAGAAGCAATTTATCACCAGTTGAGTGTGATATCCACCCAGTCAGTGCAATAGCAAGACCTAGCATGCGCAAAAGAAGCATCACTGCCACCATCAAGCTGCTGAGATATCCAAAGTAATGCCGTCAGAGTAAAAGACAACAAATGCCATGCTGTTGTGCTCTTAATGGCTGTGAATACTGTAGTGCGATTCACCAGCAAGAACAAGAAAATAGCACAGAAGAAGGAGAAGAAGAAGAAGAGGAAGAAGAGGAAAAGGAAGAAGGTGAAAAAGAAGAAGGAGAATGGAGAAAAAGCACAAGAAAAAGGAGAAGAAACACCAGAAAGAGGAGAAGGAGCACAGAACGAGAAGTAAAAGAAGAGAAGAGAGGAAGAAAAGCAGACGTCACCCAAAGTTTGCAAGACCAACAGCACAGGAGCAGACGAAGCAGCAATAGCAACAGTGACAGCAACAGCAACTGGAACAGCAACGATATGTGCAGCAAGTCTTCAGCCGTTTTTTTGTGGCTGGTTGGCCTTTGATTGCGCAGCACGCCCGAAGCGGGGGAGCTTGTTCCGAGCAGGGGCATTTGCATCAGGGTTTCAAGAGATTTCACTTCAATTGTGTGCGTTATGGCGCATGATGTAGTTGGCACAATATGTTGGCATATGTTTGCATATGTTGACATGTTGTTTCGATCCCTTCTGCAAGTGCGGTGTTGGCAATTTCGACACTTGTTTCGAGATTGAATGAATGGAGCCGTCTGTCCTTCAGCAACTAGGTCCACCGCTCATAGGCGGCCGTGGTGTAAAATAGCATTTTCAATGATTCAATGTTGTTTGAATCACGCAATTCCACTGCGTTTAAGGGACAGTCTTTGATTTCACATGTTTCATGCGCAGTTCCATTGGGGAAAATATTGTCATGATAGAAGCCAGTGGAACTGCGAGCAAAATATTCTATTTTTTTGCCCGCAACTAAGGACTCCATTCATCTTTTGTGCATCATTACCACCATCATCATCATCACCATCATCATCATCATCATCATCACCATCACCATCACCATCACCATCACCGTCGCCATCATCATCATCATCATCATCATCATCACCATCATCATCATCATCATCACCATCTCCATCATCATCATCATCATCATCATCATCATCATCATCATCATCATCATCATCATCATCATCTTTATCATCATCAGCATTGCCACCACCACCACCACCATCATCATCATCATCATCATCATCATCATCATCACCATCATCACCATCAGCATTGCCACCACCATCATCACCATCATCATCACCACCATCATCATCATCACCATCATCACCATCAGCATTGCCACCACCATCATCACCATCATCATCACCACCATCATCATCACCACCGTCATCACCATCACCATCACCACCACCACCACCATCATCATCATCATCATCATCACCATCATCATCATCACCATCATCATCATCATCATCATCACCATCATCACCATCAGCATTGCCACCGCCATCATCGCCATCATCACCATCATCACCATCATCATCATCATCATCATCATCATCATCATCATCATCATCATCATCTTTTTCTTACACCATGTTCGGTATGCAGGGCCAATGGGGACCATCCGTGCGCACCTTCACTTTTCCGATTGGCGCTCAATTCGACTTCAGCAGTCTGCGGAGCTGAGACATAAATCCTTGAGGTTTCAAAGGTCAGACGCTTTGTCTAAAGACAAATTGGAAAATTGATTTGTCGAGTGTTGGGTCTTTGATTCGGTGTTTGTTTTTCCTAATGCATCAAAACAACGGAGTCAAGTAACACGCACGCGACAGGACGTTATTACGCCCCCCGAACCCCCCCCAAAAAAATATAGATATGAAATGCGTCGGAAGTTCTAGGAAGAAAGTTCACAACGTAGCATCAAGACCGTCTAAAGTGCTAGGAAGAAAGTTCACAACGTAGCATCAAGACCGTCTAAAGTGCTAGGAAGAAAGTTCACAACGTAGCATCAAGAGCGTCTGCAGTTCCAGGAAGAAAATTCACAACGTAGCATCAAAACAACGGGGTCAAGTAAAACGCATGCGACAGGACGTTATTACGCCCCCCCGGACCCCCCCCCCCCCAACCCCCCCCCAAACCCACTTCCACAACAAAAACACCAAAAAGGAGAAAACAAGTTAGAAAAACGGACCAGTGGCACAGCGAGAAACAGACAAAATGCTGTAAAAACTAATACAAAACGACAAAAAAAACAGAAACGCCACGGCCATTTGTGGGCGGTGGTCCAACTACTCAGAGATCCTGTACTTAGATCGAAACCCTGTTTGCCTATTGCTTTCATGTTTGGTCCGCGGGTAAGCTGGCTTTGTTGCACGCAACCCCCAGCAACTAGTTTTCGGCCTTTGAGTAAGCGTGACAATAGGGGTTCCAATGAGAGGACCTAGCCAGCCATTGACCATGGTGGCACCAGCAAATGCATTTTCTGGAGAAGCAGGACGCTATCCGCGTCTTGATCCACATTAGTCATTTCAAGTTGCATCATTCCAGATATCAGATACAGTGTTTAAATCGATGCACGCATTCCTGTCTCACGTTTTTTTTGGCTTCTGCCGAGATGGTACCGTGTGGCATTTGCCGGCGGAGTTGATCTTCGCCACGGACCCAGTGTGGAGGCACCGCGCACAGGAGAGACGCAACTTGGCAAATGAACTCAGTAGAGGCGGAAAGTCTTCAAAATGGAACATACTGCACCGAAGATGTTGTTGAATCCTTCTATTACAGGTAAACATGCGCTACATGTAGGACTTTAGCAGGATTCAGGAGGACTTGAGAGGACTCAGGAGGACGCGGGAGCACTTGAAAACCAAAGAAGACTATTGAGAGATTCTCAGAGAGATTCGAGAGAGAGAGAGAGAGACAGAGAGACAGAGAGGCAGAGGTCGCTGTGCGGAGACAACCGAGGCTATGCCAAAATGCCACCCTGGCAGTGGCAGAGGAGATTCTTGGTGTTGATGGGCGCGTCTACCTACGCCTTGCGGATGGCAGGGGCTGGGCATTCGATGACTCAGCTCTGTTTCCACATGATCCATCCGTCGTGTGCCTTTGGCGATCATTCAGCCCCAAGCCTCAAATTCCGGGTCTTCCGCCTTTTCCTTTCCAAATTCAAAACCAGAGACGTTGGAGGTCCCAAAAGCTGCTACTGTGTTTGGCCAAGGCGTGGCTACTGGCAGCCTGTGTCTGTGGTACCACCTGGAGCCAATGCTGCAGCTGTGGCAGCAGCAGTCGCCAATGGTACGGCAGGTGGTGGTGCTATGACGGATGTGGCAGGCAGCATGGGAAGCATGGGAAGCATGAAGCCCACCATGGACTACGGCAATCAAAATTCGCAAGGTCGAGGAGTGAACCCGTGGATCCTGAATTAGTCTGCACGGCACTGCCCAAAGCGCTGCACAGAGCATGTCATTTTGGCACCATGGACTTCATTTGGTGCAGCCGTTCCCATAGCGCAAAGCCCAAGCCAGTGCGACACTTCCCAACTTAGGACGTTTGGCTCGGCTTGACAGAGATTGATTGGGCAGGTGATTAAAAGAGCGGTTCTGAGGTCTTTTGGCGACTGTAAATTTCGTGAGGTCTCTGGTGAAGACGATTGCTCCTGCTTAGAGACTCTCCATGCCAGGTGTCGATGCTGCGTGCCGGGGATACGTCAAGGTGCCTCTGCTTGCGGTAGAAGAGGCTGGAGCCGGCTGGAGGATTTCCAGAGTTCTTTTAGTGTTGCTGTTTTACTCATATCCTGTCTTGAATGTTGTGTTTGTGAGTTCCCGAACAGTGCATGCACATATTTGCGGCAGCAGTAAAAGACATGATTGAAGCGGAAAGCTTTTGGATGGTTAGGCCATTCTGCCTATGGTGGATTCTGAACTGGCCTCGTGGGAGAGAAAATGAACGTGTCATGAATCATAACATATATCTGCATATTTGTGCTTGGCTTCGCTTTCGATGCTTGCAGATGTTTTGATGAAAGTTTCTTGATGATACTCTCCTTTCTGGACCCTCTTCTGCATGCATGTGGCTGTGGTTGGTACCAAGACTGAAAGATGTCAGACTAGCCAACACATTTAACAAAAACTGGAAAACTCAAGACAAATTAGAAGAAGCGCTTCCAGTAACTCGTTATTTGAGCGGTTTTCTTTTTTTCGGTTCTGCAAGACGGCTACACCATTTTTTCATCAATGATTTATGAAGCGGTGATCACCAAATGTGTTGAGTGTGTCTCAGCTGAAAGATTGTGAGCCAATGGCATAATGCTTCCTGGGGATGTGGCGTCCGCCTGAAGCTTGGGAAAGGTTTGCTTTTCTGTTAGGAAGACACACGGACACAGACACGAGCACACACACACAACAAAAAAAGAAGGTCTTCAGCAGTGCGCACAGTCTGAGGTCATTCTCAAGGGAGTATGACACAACTCCTGTTGAAAAGGCTTCAGGATCAGTAGTCTGAGCCCAATTGAACGACCTTTCCAGCCACCTGAATACTTCTGTCAGACATAGCCGTGAGATGCCGTGACGCTGCAGCCTAAGGTGATGGAGCCCAAGTGTGACTCGAGCCTCACCAGCTGGCAATTCAAGTCGTGTCAGCTCCTATCAAAACAGGCAAGACCCATGCAGAATGTTTGCAATTACAGGAGATTTTGAGGCTGTACTAGACCTGGAAACAAAGAGCCTGAACAACCCAATCTTACGGACCGAGAAACCAAAAGTATGCTCGCCGATTGAACATCCGAAACAGCGGAGAGAAAGTCTAAGCACAAAGCAGGAGCAACTGCGGAACATTTCTGAAGGTAGGGCAACCGGCAGCAGGCAAACTTGCGATCCCTCGTACTGTTTCCTGAGATGATGGTCAATGCCGTACGGAGAATAGTTACATCCCCTTGGTAGACTCAAGTGGCTTGCATTGTTTGAAAGAAAGATGTTGAACTATTGTATCAGAACCTGTCAAGTATGGTCTGATGACTAACACTTCCTGAATGTGCCTTTGCAAGGAAGCAAACTGCATGTGGACTTGTTCTTCCCGATCCATCCCTTTGAATCATTGCAGGCATTCCGGTTCTGGAAGGTGGAGATCTTGGTGAACGCATTGTCCGCCATGAAGGTGGATTTTCAGAGAGTTATTGGGCCAAGTGGCGGGCAGTGCGGAACTTACGAGTTGTCAGGCTCCAGTGGACCTGGTTTGTGTTCGATGTCCTGCGGACGTCCGACATCGGGCTGGCTATTCTCCCAAGCAGTTCGGCCCAAGTTTGGATGGATTTACCAGATATGTTGATGAGATGAAGCAGCCCCGCAAGCTTGGAATGTAAGCACTCACGGCGTCTGTATGGTACATATGCGCATATGACAAGTACATTAGTACATGATGGTACATGGACATGTTGCCTACTACATTTATGAGAATCTTACAGCCACAGACTGAGTCCGGACCAAGGAATTATTTTTTCATTTTTTCGTTTTGTTTTTCATGTTTTTTCCTGTTTCATATCATTCTCCGATCATGTGAAATTATCATTTTCATGTTTTTCATTCTCCAATTATGTGAAAATGTCATTCTCATGTGCAGTTAATATTATCATGTTCATACTTGTTCCTTTTTTGCATTTGGCCATCATGTACTTGTCATTCGGCATCGAAAATGAATCGAAGCAAAATCAGAAACGGAAAAGTATACATATTTATATTTACATACACTAGACAAGAATGGATCATTATATGATCCGGCAGGAACTGAATCCTGAAACATGCAAACCAGCCTAGATCGTTAGATTAGTAAAGGAGCCACATGAGGTACTTCTCGAAAACGATGTAGGGCATCCAATGTTGTCAAACGAAGTCAAAACCAGAATCCATAGAGTTTTAACCAGCATGTTGAGAATCCACAATAATGTTTCGGCGATTGTTTCCCAAAATAACCCAAAGTTCGTCGGCGACATGATCTCGGCGAAAATATGTCAAAAAATCATAATACTGTCGGCGATATGGTTTCGGCGAAAATCTGAGGAAGGTTCTGATGCATGCAATACAGATTGTGGCAACCGTGTAGATTCGAAACAACGCAGTGTAACAGCTTGATCAACAGTTGAAACCAAATTTTGCAGGTACACAGAGTTGATCAGACTCTGCTTCCAGCACAAGTGGATAGCTTCGTTGGGTGCAGTCTCCACTGTGCTCTGCACCGAGTCCTGAGGTTCCCCTGCAAACTAGTGAAAACCAATCAGAAGTTTTACATCTGTTCAGATGGTACACACACACACCTCGCATATAGCGAGGTTGGATTTTTTGGAAGAACTTCGCTGGCGGAATCGGCAATACACCCGTGAGAGTGAACCTGTAAAAACCAAATGTACAAACGGGCGATCACTTCAGTCAGAAGAAGAAGAATTCGGAGCTTGTAGAAGGACTTCGAAAGCATCGTGGAAGCTCATGCGTTCAACCATCGCCCACGTCTCATTGAATTCCCCAGATGCCGTAGCAGCCTTCAAGGCCTCAGAAAGATCCGTGGCTAATTCGTGGATCCGGGTGGTAAGGCTCGGTTCCTCTGCTGGAGATGTCGTCTCAATGGGCACATTGTGAAAAGGATGGTGTCCGTGTACAAGGGGAATCTCGAAATGATGTCGCCAATAGTCCGCTGTACGTAGGGACCACTCCCAATTGCCCGAAAGACCATAAAAGTAGTGTTCAGGGTCACGACAGCGGGAATGCCCTAGCAAGGGGATTTCTTCAATGAAAAGCTCCCTGGTGTTGTTGGAGTGGGTAATGACCTTGAATTGGATCTGGTGAACCACGCGAGAAGAGAATTGAGCACGATGGAGGTAGTTGTGTGCAGAACTGGACTCCATTGGAAACGGGACGCAAGGAGGTGCTGGTCCTGAATATGTATCAGGATGGGCCATAGTATCCGTGGCAGGTGCCGTACTGTCAGTGACCAAAGGTGCCGACGTAGGGTTGGTCGTAGTGTCGGGAGCTCCTGAGTGACATAGTGCAGAAGTCTGGGCGTCTGGTACTTGAACTGGATTGGTAGGAGCGAGTCCACGGGTAGGATTCGAAGGCCAAGACAAGCCCGCCACGGTCGCGTCTCGTTTGTGTTCCATGGGTGAAACTGTCACAAATGCGAGAAATAGCGCAACAACGGCTGAAGCATCAAGAATTGCAGAAAAAAGCCAATCCCGAAAATGATAATATTCACAAAAATGATAAAAGTGAAATCCAGTCCTCAAGCAAGTGGGTCAATTGCGACAGAGAAGCCACAGCTCAAAGTCAAATAAAATAGAAATCGAAGAATCCTGTGTGTTAGTGGGTTGTCAAGGAAGAATTGAAAACCCTCTAGCATGGTCTTTTTTGGCCGGCTAGCGTATCAGGGCAGGATCACACCGGAGCTAATTTTGTAGCATTGCAAACGTAGTACGGAAGGCTGTCTGGTACCCGGAATGAGGAAAGAAGATTCACGGGAGTTGTACTGCCGAAGTCGCCATTCAGGTCGGTATGCCTCCAAAAGCTGCAAGACCGTCATATCATTGGAAACTTGGAATGTCTCACCGTCCAGGTCGCAAAAGCGAAACTCCAGATTCGAGGGATCAATTTGGATGTCCCATTGGGACCTCAATCTTTTGGAGATACAGAAGCGAAGTTCGGCAATTGGGATGAGGCCGGATTCAACTGGTTCCATCTGACGTGACCAGGTAAACAAAGCTGCAAGTTCAAAGCCACTGACATGTCTAAAATTGGAGTTCACCAGAGCGATGTAGTGTTCACGGTCAGGTTCGCTTCGGTGAGTCAATGCCTGTAGGGGAGAGAAGTCAACCAAGATAAGGACAGGTCTGTTTGGAGGAGGGTTCGCATCACCAGGAAGGCCTCGATGTCCAGCAATCCATCCAACGGTTCGTGTACCAAGCGGTGTCTCAATCGTGGATGTAGCGCGATATGGATTGGGTCGAGAAGAACGAGCCATTGCGTCGAATGTGAAGTATCGAGGATAAAGCGAAAAGCACAAGCTGCAAAATGGGTTGGAATAGCCACAGAAACCAGCTCAAAGTGTTAGAAATGAACGAGAAACGGTGTACCTAGTAAATGGTCACACAAAGAGACGATGAATCACAGGTCTTTTTCCTGCCGACAAATAATGTGGTATATTACACACTTGAGTCCGACGTATCCATCGGGTCAATATCATTCGCATCCAGCGGACCATGTACTTGTTGAGGAGGGACAGCGGGGCGAGTGAGATGTACAGTACGTTGTAGTGTTGCCGGTGGGGAAGAAGGTGGTGTAGACCGCCAAGGTGGCCAATATAAAGAGGTAGTAGTTCCTTGAGAATGGTGTTGGGCAGAGCGTCCCCAGCATGACTGTAAAATATGGAGGTGGTCCGGTATCGCTTCGTACGGCTGTGAGACAGAGACGTTGGAGTGTTCAGGGTGTGGTAAAACGGGAACAGTAGTTGCCGTAGGGGAGGAGGATGATGATTGAATTGGTACGTCATAGTATCTGCGCCAATGGTTAGCTGTAGTACGCAAGGTCGCCTGGTCGTTGGTGAGGTGCATGTTCTCCAGGAATGTTTCCACTGGTTTCCACGTTTCAAGACCATCAAGTGTCCTTTCCACGATCCAAAGTTCATCTGAACGGTTAGACAAAGGATAGCTCAGCTTCTTGATGAAGACGGAGTGGACAGTGGTAGAGGTCGGAATCATT